ACCCTTATTAATAGAGGATAGAATGCACAAAAGAGAAAATTAGATATTTGCCCCTACTTTAATTAGAGAGTTACAAGATATTATTGTCTTTTGTTGTGTTTTTAATATTTGCAACAAATTTGGCATCTTTTTGTGTACTTCGACCTTTTGGTTTGTAGGTCTTTGGATCGGTCGACTATCTTTCTGGGTACTTGTTGGCCTTCGCTCTAGGAAGTCGTTCGACTTTGAGAGAGGTAGCCAGCTGGCCTTAGGGTTCCCGGACGACTTGCTTCTTTCTTGGAGATTTCTGGAGATCTTTAGGGGAGTAGTTGAGAGAGCCTTATATTGATACTTGTGAGCTTAATTGTTTGGTCATTAGAGATTATCTACTTTCAGTCAGTCTAAGTGGATTTTCGTTCGGTCTTCTAGTTACCAGTGGTTACTAGTTCTCCAACTAGTTGGATTAACTAGCAATTAACATGGACCGTCACACTGCTTCGAGATCCGATCAAAATGGACATAATTTAACTTGCAACAGTTTTTTTTTTTTTTTCAAAAGAGTTTGTTTTTTTAGAAAATGATTTTTATGTTAGAATAGATTCAAAGTGTTTTCACCTCTTTGTATTTGGGTACTTAGTGAGTAATGTTATATGTGAGAAAAAAAGAATTTAGAATGTTCACATATTCTTAATGCTATAAAAAAATAGCATGTCTTTCATACTTTATTTTTGTCTTAAATTATATCAAGAGATTTTCATGTATATATATATATATATATATATATATAAAGAGAGAAAAATTACTACATTAATGATAGTTTCATTTGCTACTAGAGCATGAGATAGAAAATAATGTTTATATTTATAAGCATTGTTAATGTTAAAATATTTTGCTACAGTATGAGTGTTTTCCCAAGGGTTTCTAGAAGAAACAAGAAGACAGGAGATGGAAAGTATTCACTATATCTATAAGCAATGTATACTTTAAAAGAATTTGCATTAGTATGTGTGTTCTTCTAAGGGTTTCAAGAAGAGACAAGAAGATAAGAGAGAACTATAAGAGAGGAATGTTAAAATATAAGTATAATTATTAAATTTTTATGATAAGTTAGAAGAATAGATAAGAGAAGGCGCACTCGGGTCTTCTTAATAGAGATGGATCAAATAATATTGTTTAAATTCATTCATGTCTTCTAATAATGATAAATATTCTATGCATACATGCGATTCAGATGTATTTAGAACTATGAAACGTTCGTTCAAGAGTAAGATGTAGGCCCTAATTAGCCACAAAAATTCACGTGGTGGTAAATCCATATAAGAATCTCTATAAAATTTTCAGTGTAGCCAACATAGTGGCACCATAGCTTGTGCATGAGGCCGTCCAATATAGAATTTCAATGTAATGATATGATGTATGGGATCGTGATTTACAATGTCATCCCTATGATGGTCACCCAATAGGTCATCATTGCATGCCGGAAAACTTAGCCAATGCAACCTCGAGCCAACAACATTTGGCCCCACTTCGACATTGCCATCTATCCTTATTTCAAGTATTTAAACGCTTGTAGTGTTATAGTCATCTCACCTGATAAATTTGTACAATGTATGAAAAAAAGTAAAATTATTTTTGACTTATTTATAAATGTGAAATTATATTTATCTTACCGACAGACAAATGAAACATAATGATCATGGGTCATCACTTCTCGACCAGTGCTGTTATAAAGTTGTGGTCTAGTTTGATGTAGCTTAAGTCTCTGATGCATTCTAATCCCACAATATTGATTGCATATAAGAATCATGGGAAATTGATATGTCATTCTCTTAACACAAGGGCATGAATGACTGCTTCTAAAATCTTGTCCTATAAAATTTTGAATTAAATTAGTTTTGATAATTTGTAAAACTAACTAACACAAAAAAATAATTTACATTCTTACATTATCTAAATTAGCTTCTGCTGCACGATGTGCTACACCCAATAATGCGATACTTTGAAGTCAAAATATTCATTGTGAAGTGGATCGTCTAACATTGTGGCGATGCTTTGTCAAATCTGCTCTCCCTGAGATCTCCACTGAAGTGATCGTAGTGTTAATAAATAGAAAGACGTTAGTTTCTCTAAGAAAAACAACTATATAAAATCAGTATAGAGTGAAATTTATATGAAATACTCGAACCTAATATTGCTTGGATTATAGGAACTTGTTGCTCTATTTTGCCCCATGTTTTTACAGAATTACACATTCTTGTGCTCATGGTTCTTGTCTTGTTCATTGTGTTTCTTATCCTACTTGTACTTGGACGACCAAATCTTCTTCTAAATAGGGGGGAAGTAAAGTGATAATACCTTCTTGTTGATTGTATGGTGGCCACGACTCCTTTTCATTTATCATATGAAATAATGCTTCATATGTGTGTTGGTAGAAATTTTACGTGAAGTATTTTGAAGCAAAAGTCGTGTGGTCTGAATGTATGGGCCCGAATGCCGCAATCACATGCACACATGATATGTGATAGATTTGTGGCTTATTGCATATGTATGAACAGTTCTTTGGAGAAAGAATGTCAACACGAAATGCCTTACAAGCCATATCCATATGCAGGATGGGGACAAATTTTCTCTTGGCTGGAACGTGAAAGAAGACCCTTTTGATCACCTGTTGCGTTGGACGGGGACAACTTTTCTCTTGGTCATAACATGAAAGAAAATCTCATTGTTCGTCTGTTACACAGAATGGGTACGACTTTCTTCTTCTAAAAAATCTTGCTAGTAGAAGACTCCACTCACTACTCTTTCTCTTTTTTCTCCTTCTCTTTCTCCTAACTTGTGGTTCTTCTCCTCACTAACCACCTCTATTTATAAGCTTAAGGAGAGGCCTAGCATTAAATGCGATTATTAATAAAAAAAACTGAAGTCTACCTTAATTCCTTTGTCATTTGACCTTCAATTTTCTAGCTTTTGGCCTTCCCAGTTTCCATTATGACCTTCCGACTTAAAAAAAAAAAAAGAAAAGAAAAAGAGTAGTAGCTCATTAAAATATAAAAAAAATTTCTCAAATTTCAACATTTGGGCTCTTAAAATTGACTCAAATTCCTCTTTTCGGCTAAATCTAATCAAAATTCGGCAGTTTAGATTCCTAAAACCCCCACACCCGTCTCTTCAGCTTCAAGATAGTTCACTCTGCTGGTTCCGTATGGGCCTGTCTCTTCAACTAAAACATGCCTTCCTTTCCCACCTTTGGGCCTGTGGTAAGAAAATCTTAATTTTTTTTCATATATAAATTCTCACAGTAATATAATATATACTCATATGTGTGTGTATTTATATATACATATACACACGACAAAAGAAGAGGTTTTAGATCTTGATATTTTCCGTGGTAAAATAGAACCCACCACTTGTCGCGTCAAGCAAAAAGCCCCTCCCGACTGAGCTGTGCTAATTTGATTCAATATATTGATGTTTATATTATTCTTATATAAATTCTCACAGTAATATAATAAACACTCGTATGTGTGTGTATTTATATATACATATACATACGACAAAAGAAGAGGTTTTAGATCTTGATATTTTCGGTTGATAAAGTGATCTCACCCAAAAATGGGGGGCAACTGATACATCTTCAGGAAATCTCTATCATCCGACATGAATATCGAGACATGACATAGATCTCTAGACGGCTTCTTGAGCAAAAAAATTCAAACCTCGATAAAATCTCATCCATAACTTCGATTTCAGCAAACTTAAAGGCAAACTGACCGGCTCAACAAGAAGAACTCAATGTTACCAAAATTAGTTCAATTCAAGTCAAATCAAGCTCATATTAAATCATCAAACCGATCTAAGAAGTTTTTCGAATATATTTAGATGGTTAAACGAACGTTGAATCTTGCAAGCCTATAATTGAATTGAGTGTCTCGACAAGAAGAATCCAACGAACCAAGCTTGCTCAATTATGACATCGTTATGGCACTAAAATGTCCATCAAACTTCGTTTGATCGAAAGAAGCTCTCTGAATCATCCGATTAAAGTAGTTCATATTCTTACATTAATTACACTCAGAATACTGTAAATATAGTCACACCTCTCTCATGAGAGAAGACTGGAGGCTTGAGAGAGAATTTAAAGATTTGAGAATGAGCTGAAGGCCGACACTACCCCTGTCACTGTCAATCGTCGTTGGCCGCAATCAACCACTGCTGACTTCCGTCCACCATTGTCGACTGCCTTCGAACACCACTGACCATCGTCGACACCCGCCGACCTTTGTTGAGCACTATTGTCATCGTCCACCACCATCGACGGTTGTCGACCGCTGATCACCGTCGATCACCACCAATCAACGTCACTCACCATCTACCGGAAGCCTTCAGTCGACATTCGACGGTTGTCGACCGCTGACCACCGTCGATCACCACCAATCAATGTCACTCACCATCTACCGGAAGCCTTCAGTCGACATTGTAACTGAGAAAATCAAATAATCTTTTCTCATCCATGGGATAAGGGGTCTCTGTAATCATCAACTTATAGTGAATTTTTAGATCTAGCCTAACCCACCTCATTTTTTTCCTTTACTGTTTTTCCACGTAAAAAATTTTGGTCTCATTACTGGTTGTTTTTTTACCTTAACGTACGTTGAATTCTCGTACAACACTAAGACGATAATTCATTGCTCGACCGTCACAAATTTTCTAGCAAGCAACACAAAGTATTAAGGACCCAATGAGATATCTTTTGAGGGTATTAAGGACACAATGAGATCTCTTCTGCGGCTAAATTTATGGAGTTGTTGTCATGCTATCAAGTCGGTTTGACAAAACTCATCCAGACAAACACATACGTCCAATTTTAATGTTTTCATAATCATACCTAAGTACACCCATTCCCTTCTAATCATAATTAAGCAGCTGGCTTGTCAGCTAGTTCCCGCTCCATGCCATTCCCCCATTGATTTATACCATCAAGTGGGAAGGAGCCATTTGAGTTTCAGCTCACGTGGGCTTTTCTTTCCTCCTTGTAGCCGTCAAAATAGTTTCTTAATCTCCTTCTAAAGTCAAAACCATGCTATGAATGATCCTCTCAGTCCAGAAATTTAATATTTTTATCTCCGAACTGCTATCTATCTATCTATCTATCTATCTTCGATATAAATTATTTCCTCTGTATGATTTCTTCCTCCTCCGCAGCTCATTGTTGAAGCCAGCCATGGAGGAAAAGAGCAATCTTTGCGGCTTTCTTTCTATTCTCATCTTTCACTTAGTAATCAAACCTTCTGCAGCTGCAGCTCCAGCTCTTGAACTCAATCGAGGCTTCAGAGCAAACTTCGATCTGTCATCCGGTTCATTTCAGCCTCTGCTTTCCGATCCCACCGGCATTTTCTCCTTTGGTTTTCTTCGAATCAACTCCTCCAACCTCGACCTTGCCGTCGTCCACCTCCCTTCCAACCAGTCAGTCTGGCGCGCCATGGCTGCACAGCCGGGAGAACTCTCCCGCTCAGCCTCGCTCTACTTCAACGGCTCTCTAGTCTTCTCCGACCGAGAAACAGGGGTTTTGTGGTCCTCTCCGGCGGTCTCCGGCGACCGGGTGGTTCTCCTCAACTCCTCCAATTTGCAGATACGGAAAATTGCCGAGCCCATCGTCGTTCTCTGGCAAAGCTTCGATTTTCCTTCGGACACAATTGTTCAAAATCAGAACTTTACATCAAACGCTGCTCTGTTTTCTTCAAATCAGCGCTATTCGATGAGACTAGGCTCCAACTACCTCGGCCTGTTCATGGAATTCGGGGGAGGAGTTGATGAACCGATGTATTGGAAGCGAACGGCCTTGGAAGCGAAGAACCAGATCGTCGCGGGCGACGGACCGATCTACGCGCTGCTGAGCCCGCTGGGTTTCCTCGGTTTGTACCAAAAGGAAAACGCGCCGGTGGATGAGTTATCCTTCGATAGCTTCGCAAGGGGGATCACCGGATTCAGGCGGCTCACTCTTGAGGCCGACGGGAATCTCAGAGGATATTACTGGAACGGCACGATTTGGGTGTCGGACTACAAAGCCATTTCTATGCTCTGCGAGCTTCCAAGTGCCTGCGGGGCTTATGGACTTTGCAGCGCGGAGGAGAAGACGTGCAGCTGCATCGATAGCCGCAGCGAAGGTTGCTTGGAGGCGGATTCCGGCAATCTCTGTGGTAGCGGAAATGATGATTTCTGGGTGCTGAGGAGAAAAGGCGTAGACTTGGCGAACAAAGAGCTGCTCGGGTTCATAAAGGTGAAATCTTTGAATGAATGTGAGGGATTGTGCGAGCGGAATTGCAGTTGTTGGGGCGCGGTGTATAACAATGGAACCGGATATTGTTACAGAATGGAATATCCGATTCAGACGGTGATGGAGGTTGGAGATGAGAACAAGATTGGTTTTTTCAAGGTGAGGGTCACCGGAAATCATGGCGGAGGAGGTAATAAAGGGAGGAAGACGGCGGAGGCATTGGTGGCGGTCGGTGTTCTGGCGACCGCCGCGGTGGTCGGAGTTGTGGTTTATCGGTGGTGGAGAGGGAGGAGGAGAAGAGGAGAAGGAGAGAATGGTTCGATGGTGGAGGGTCTGGCATCTGGGCCGTACAGGGATCTTAATTCATGGTCCTTTAGATCGATTGAGTTGGCCAACTCGTTTAGGAAATGAGAAAATCTCCGGCGAGAACAATACCGGCGGCGATCCGATTCATTCTCCGGTCATGGAATGTCTCCTAGCGTCGCCGCCGGCGAGGAGCATCGCTGAGTTTGGCTCTTATCTTCTTCTAAGTTTTTTTTTTTTTTTTTTTAATTCTAATTTTTTTTTTTTTTTTTAAATTCTAACTTTTTTTCAATTTCTTTTTCAACCTTAGTTTAATTGCTGCATATTTTTGAAAGGTCAGCCATGGATTGTTATGCGGAAGTTTAGAAATTTTTTATATTTATTTTTGGTGCGTTCACATACGTATTATATAATTTTCATGTATTTACATATCTCACATCTAAATTTTAATATTTAAATTAGTAAGACTATTCCTGATTTTTTAAAAGTTATACATTTTTTCATATTTAAGTTTATAGTACTTTATCGTGTACCTCGATCTATTGGTTGACATCAGCAGCATAAGATGCCTTCAGGTCGGTGTTTGAATCCCTTTGACCAGTTAGCCTTAAAGAAGTACTTGAATTCAGGTCGGCGGTTTGAATCCCTTTGATCAGTTAGCCTTAAAGAAGTACTTGAATTAGTCACATTAGAGGTAACTGTAGACTCATATAATAGTCTATGATCATTCGTTTAATATATAATAGTACTAAAGTATTATAAATATAAAAACTAAAGTTTAGATGTTGGATATATAAATAGATAAGAAATATGTGTGATATGTATATAAATGTTCCTTAATTATTATTTTTTCTTATTTGTAGTTATTTTGAATTAAAATAAAATGTATTTGTTGGTGACCATTATTTAAATTATTTCGATGTTTTAAAAATCATTATTTTAAAATAAAGTTTAAATATATACAATAAAATATAGTGGATAAACATATATTTAAAAATAAAAAAAATAAATAGAAGAAAGGATTACTGGCATGCCACACCAGCCCTATGTAATTATATATCCATCATCAAGATTTTGATTTTTAACATTTAAAAAAATTTTCTCGTGTAAGAAGAGATTTATTTCTCTAAAAGAAATAGTATTAGTGTATAACAAGAAATATTAGGATCTGAAGCTTTTCAGTCAACTGATCAGAACACTTCCGACCAAGTGGCCACCCATAGCTAGCTCCTCTCCCTCTCCAGCGGCCTCCTTTGGTCGGACGACCCTCTAACCTGCCTCCTCTTAGGCCAGCCACCTTGGCTAGATGACCATTTTTCCAACCGATTACTGATTGAAGCCCAGATCCAGTAGCCGACGAGGTCCCGATGATGTTTTAAAAATCATTATTTTTAAATAAAGTTTAAAACCATACAACAAAATATACTGGATAAACATATATTTAAAAATAAAAAAATAAATAGAAGAAAGGATTACTGGCATGCCACACCAGTCCTATGTAATTATATATCCATCATCAAGATTTTTATTTTTAACATTTAAAAAAATTTTCTCGTGTATGAAGAGATTTATTTCTCTAAAAGAAATAGTATTAGTGTATAACAAGAAATATTAGGATCTGAAGCTTTTCAGTCAACTGATCAGAACACTTCCGACCAAGTGGCCACCCATAGCTAGCTCCTCTCCCTCTCCAGCGGCCTCCTTTGGTCGGACGACCCTCTAACCTGCCTCCTCTTAGGCCAGCCACCTTGGCTAGATGACCATTTTTCCAACCGATTACTGATTGAAGCCCAGATCCAGTAGCCGACGAGGTCCCGAGCAATATGCTCTAACGACAAAAGACTAGAATATCCTCTGCAACTCTCCTTAAAATAAAGCAATTATGTTATTTATATTTATATTTTTCTATCTTCTATAAATATGAATATCATTGATACACCATCAACAAATTCTTATCATCCGACACAAATTTCTAGGCATGACACAGATCTAAGAACAATATTTCTAGCAAGAAATGTGCATACTTCAATTAAAATTAATCCAGAGCTCCAATGTTAGCAAACTTATATTTAACTGACCAGCTCGACAAAAAAAAACCCAATGACACCAAAATTGGTCACATCTGAACCAAATCAAACCTAAACCAAGTCATTAAACTGCTTTCAGAATCTTTTTGGGTATATTTTAAAGATTAAACGAATGTCGAATCTGGTGAGTTTATAGTCAAATTGAGCATCTTGACAAGATGAATTCAACGAGTCCAAGATCTCTCAATTCGACATCGTTAAGGCACTAAAATATTCATCAAACATTGTTTGAACAAGAGAATCTCTTCGGACCGTCCGATCAGAGTAGTTCATATACCTTCATTAATTGCAACCATAACTCTATAAATAGAGCTTTACCCATCTCTTGAGGGAGAAATCTTAAATCCTATAGAATATTGAAGCTCAGAAAAGGAACTGAAGTTCAACATCACTCCTGTAGTCGTCGATCGTCATCAACCAATGTTGACCACCACTCGCCTATCACCTCCCATTCCTTGTGACAAGTTCATCCGCACACTGACGTTGCAACTCAAGAGACTGTGAAACCCTTTCTCGCCCGTGGGACTAGGAGTTGTAACTGTAATCCCCACTTTATAGTGAATCTCTTCAAATGGGCTAAGCCCCGTCTAATTCCCATCATTCCTGAGAGCAGTCACGGAGCGAAGGGCATTATGCCTACACATCTTCCCACCCTGGAAGACTTTGCCCTGCTGGCGAAGGTGCCTTGGGCCCTTTTCTGGAAGACCAAGTGCACATGATTGAAGAGTCTCAACTGTAGATTCTATAATTTCTACCCGGAGCTCTAGAACCCTTACTCGATGGAGCTTACTTGCCATTAATTCAACGGGCGACAAGAAGTGTGTCACACGTAAATACTCGTATCAGACCCTTTCTCTATGAGAGAACCTTTCCTCTATTAGGTCGGGATGTTGGCCTCCCAGATACTGCAAGTTCTACTCATCCGTCTCGCACAACTCACCTACACCACTCCACCTCTCTGTCGTTACTGACGATGTCATTTGTGACGAGCTATGACACCTATTTTGATAATATTTCCTTCTAATAAAACGGATTGCTTCCCTTCTCATCACAATTTCGAAGAATCCTCTCCTTTGGCAGAGGCAATCTTCCAACACCCCATCTCAGCGTGGTTCAAGTTCTCGAGCATCAATGCCTATGGAGTAACTGATCCATACGAGCACGCCGACTATTATTGAATTAACATGCACATTCACGATGCTTCTGACACGCCTCTCTGTCATGTGTACCTTGCGACTCTTAAGGGTCAAACTCACACATGGTTCTACTCTCTCTTGGGGTCACAATCAACACCTTCAAAAAGCTTGTCAGACTATTCGTAGAGCAATTCATAACAAATAGAAGGATCATCAAAGATTCATCCAATTTATCGGGAGTTTGCCAGAATGAGTGGGAATCCTTCAATGAATACTTTTACGAGTTCTCCACTGATTCTTGCAATATTTATAAAGTGGATCCAAAGTTACTAAGAGGAGTCTTTATTAGAGAGCTTCACTCATGAACTTTCTACTGATTAGTGATGTAAGAGACAGTTCGCTCTTACGTCGATCTTGTCCATTGTGTCGAAGCTCAAATCTTTGCATATGAGGTCATCAATACACACAAGGAACAATTCAAGTGATTGGGGGGCAAGTGCAAACATAATTTTGGGGATGCTGATCAAATCTTACAGCAAAAGAAGTCGGAACCACATAAAAATCATGGTTTCTCTCTTCGATCCACAAACTAATGACACAGGTCTCGATCAGGTAAAGAGTACACACCACTCAACACGTCACGTGTTAACTTTCAAACAGACATCAAGAATGTAGAGATCATCAAGTGGTGAAGGTCGTTAAAAATCTATATGGCGAATACCAATCTAAATATTATCATTTCCATCGTGTAAAAAGGAATTCAACAAAAAATTATGTTTTCTCTTAAGGGAAGAAATTGAGCGTCTGATATGCTAAGGTCACCTGAGTCACTACTTACAACAATGAGATGATAAGAACCATAAGAAAATCGTCTTGGTTATCAAATGAAAAGTGAAATTTTAAATTATCTTATTTTAGTAAACGACTTGCATATAAACTCCAAATTTTATTATAGAGAGATTTTTTTTTATCGTTTTAAGCTTTCGTTTAGTGAAATTTTCTTGTTCTCTCACAAAAGATTTTTTGTGTAGAAAGATTCCTTGAAGGCAAGCGACAGATAAGATCTCCACTCATACCCCTTGAAGTCGAGCCCAAGCGACAAGGCTCAAAGAGAAGACACCATGCCCTTGAAAGTTGAGCCCAAGAGGCAAGACTCAACGAGAAGATATTATACCCCTAAATGGGGAGCCCAAGAGGAAAGACCCAATGGGAAGATACTTTACCCTTGGAAGTCTAGCCATAGAGAGAGGACTCGATGGGAAGCTAAAGATGAGCATAAGAGGCAAGACTCGGTGGTAAGATATCTTACCCTTAGAATTCGAGCTTAAAAGATAAGATTAGATGGAAAGATACCATACCCCTAGAAGTCTAGCTCTAGAAGCAAGCTCAATAGGAAGATACGATGCCCTTGGAAGTCGAGCCCCAACAGCAAGACTCGATAGGGAGATACGGTACTCATGAAAGTGGAGCACAGGAGGCAAGACTTGATGGGAAGCTAGTAGTGGATATGGTCCGCACTAGAAAGACTCTAAGAGAGCAGGTGGTTGCCTGAGTTTCCACTTAAAGAACTCAGAAGGCTACAAACCTTATAAGGCATATGTACATCAAAGATCTCAGAAGGCACGGGTAAATCAACGATCTTAGAAGGCTACAAGCCTCAGAAGACACCAATGCATTTTAAGCTCGTAGAATGCATAAGTCTAAGAAGGCACAAGTCTAAAAAATAAAAGCCTAAGAGGGCACAAACCTTAGAAGATGCGAGTCCCAAAAGCTACATGATTCTTTTTTATATAAAGTGCACGTGCTGACTTTGATTACAGATGTCTGCATGTTTGAGAAGCCAAGGAACCTCAAAAGGTAGAAACCTAGGGGTCGATACCAATATACACCCCTAAAGTAAGACAACAACGCAACAACCTAGAAATGGAGTAACCACAACTCATAAGGAAAGATAAAAACAACCCCAGAAGCA